TCCAATGCTTTGTCTTGGATATCAACCTTGAATACCATAACTTTGCACCCCTTGGTGTCTGAGACTTGAGAATACATTCAAGTAAGAAAACCATTCATGAGTTGTAATAAATGTTCATAGGCGTTGACGGGGATTGATTGAATGGTAATTGTTTTACGAGTAATACTGATTTTACGACTGATAACATATTTTAGAATTAATAATCATTGGAAACGCACCTTTTTCTTAGTAACAGAACTTTATTAGTTATCTTGTTATATATTTGTCTCATACTATATTTAGCAATTATTCGCCGAAGCCAAAGTGAATATCGGGGAATATTTACCGAGACGCGAGGTGAGTATTCTCCATATTCACTGAGCCTGAGGCGAATAATTGTTTTAGCATATACCAACTTGTGTACAGAGTAACTTATTTTTATATACAATAATTCCATAAAAACAAAAAAACAGAAACTTTTAGTTTGCGTGACAACAAAACTTTTAGCAAACGTTTTAGGCCCTACTTCGTTGCCTTTTTAGCATCGATAGGAATGGCATTTAATCTCATTTTTTCAATTTCCTCATCGAAAATTGTAGCAAAACGATTGCCGGCAAATGCCATTTTGTTGCCGACTCAATATTCCGAGATTCAGAGGTGAATATCGTACAATATTCACCTCCAATTAACCAATGAGCGCGCGCGTTCTTAGGAAGTACACAAATTCGTATATGCTAATATCCTATATTATTACTATTATATTATTATTTAATATTATTAACTTCTTTTATGTTACAATTTGAATGCGGCCTCCGCCTATGCTTTGCTGATTCTTCTTCTTCTTCTTCTTCTTCTTCTTTTTATTCTTATTCTTAATATATATATTTAGGCACTGCCTAAAAGCGGAGCCCAAAAGCAGAGGGAGCCCAATTTAGATAAAACGGAAAGATAAAAATAAAGTCCATCGTGACAACCTTCTATTTTTTTCTCCATCGAGAATAGGGGAAACCATAAAGTGAAAAAATGAAATGTAAATGCACTACATCGTTTTCTTCGCACGAGTCTTTCTTTTCGACCTTAGTTCTCTCCCACTTAGGAATTTTGTCACATGTACACAACTTACCACCATCCATCCCAGGGGCTAGTTTTGTTCTTGAAAAAGTCTTCGACAAAGTGTTGTATGGCCGACATTTTTACGCTTTGTTTTCCTTCAGTTAAATTTTATTTGATAAAATGAAAGATAAGTACAGATAATCCAATAAAATGTCAAGTATTGTGAAATTTACCTTGGATATCTTTCATTAAAATACAAAGAGTCGGAGTTTTTCCATCTTTTAATGGACAAATGAACACGGCATATAAAGACAGAATAGAAAACTGCTTAAAAGAAAAGACGAGCAAAACATAAGCTTACTAGTACTTCTTTTACATAACAATTTTGGTTATCCATGAAGAGTATAGATTTTTGTAAAAACCGTATTTTTAACGCAATGGAATCAAGAAAATAAATGATTAGGTAGCATCAGCGAGAGAAAATTGGCTGGAGATCAAAATCAAACATGTCATCAGTTCAAAATATTTTTCTGATCCTAATTCTTCATTAAAATATTCTTATTCCTTTTTTGTAAGCCTTAACGGACTCCGTAGGCATTTGTAGATGTTTTTGAATATTTAGTAGCTTTTGAAAGTGAGAGACAAAGTCTTCATACGATACATCTTTCAACAAACAAAAATTTCACATCATTTGTATAATCATACTAGCTCGAAATAAACAGCTAAATATGTGGTGCATTTTTATATTTCATTCAATATTCAAATAATTATCGATAGAAAGATATGAAATTATTGAATAAAAGTCTTCTTTGTTGTCCGATGGGACCCCGCGATAGGAGGCGAACAAATCTGTGTTTTTCTTCAACGAAAAACATACGATAGTTGGTTAAAAACAACCGAATTGTTAAAKATTTACAATGCTTAATTAAGGCCGAATATTTGTCGTAATATTTGCTTTCCGGATTATATTTCATCCAGCATTAAAATCAATTAAGCTTAACTAGTTTTGAAAGTTTTGAAATAAATTCTTTGATTTGTGGATAAAAATTCCTGTCAAAATCAGTATTAAACAAGTTTTGACACGGGAAAACGTGTCAAATGTGCTGTGCACATGGATACTTTGAATAGAGTACAAGACTATTTGGGATTTAGTCATTGTAAGACAGAAGAAAATCCGTGGATTCGGTTTGAATATTTTTTACGGTCAAATTGAACCAGCATAAACGAGTCTTGTTCGCAAACCCCAAAGCAAGCCTCCGTCTCTCTGAGAACCAGTGTTATGGTGGCTCCATCGGCTCAAAAACACCACACAAAACATTATTGAACAGAAGATTCTCCATCTACAGAAAAAGTTTGGTCTCGAAAATTTACCTCAGAATACCCTGCGAGCAGAGTCTCCTTTACCTTCCCCCCGAGTGAGAGAAAGGAAAGAAGACTCTTTCCTTTCTCTCACTCGGGGGAAGGTAAAGGAGACTTTGCTCGCAGGGTAACCTCAGAATGGAAATAGTACGAAAAACGTATCTCTTTCCCTACACTTCTGCCCAAACAATATGGCGTCGGAAACCGTGAAAGGAACTATAAATAA